TTTAGTTGATAAGTTAAATTTTTGGTGTGATAATCATGTGATATGGGTGTGATAATCACGTGATTATCACACAATTATCACACTATCGCTTATATCCACACGATTTGGTGTGATATGGGTGTGATAATCATGTGATTATCATACAATTATCACATTATCGCTTATATCAACATGATTTGGTGTGATTTGGGTGTGATTATCACACAATTATCACAAGGATTTCGTTCGGCTAGGGTTAACTTAAAAAATCGACTACCGATTTGGTGTGATATGGGTGTGATTTGGAGACGCATGAATGAAGGAGAAGAAGACGTGATCAATGAAGGAGAAGAAGACGTGGAAATGTGAAGATAAACATGGTTAATTAAAATAAAATAAAAATTATAAAAATTACGTAATTACATTACTGCCCTAATTAAATTATTTATATATAATAAAAGTTAATTTATTAATTAAAAAGGTTTGTAGTTATTGAGTTCTCGCATTTTCGTAAATCACAGGGGTTCTCGTTTGAACCTCCACCTATATATATATATATATATATATATATATATGGGGTAAGAAAACGAACCAAAGACATGCTCAATAAGAGAAATCGCTCGTCCGTATACATACATAGACATACCATAATAAATCAACAATGTCATACTGTAAACACGTTCAAAAAACATTAGTCATAGCATACATAATCACCCCCTCACAAGAGTTCCATAGAAATCAATCATAACAATGTATCAACATATCATATATCCACAAGACCTCAAACATAATGCATAGGACTAGCAGAGACTTACAATTATCATCTGGGTATGCCTGAGCCCCTATGCATAACCAAATAGAATACCAAGGACTAGCAGGGACTTGCCTTCATCTCTCAGGTATGCCCGAGTCCCGTACTCATGCCGCTCCAAACCATTAGACAATGAGTACAACACACGAATGTCTCACCGACTCCCCCTCTTCACCTGGGCTGTTGACATCCAGCGTTGTTTTCGGCATACCACAAAAATAGTACCCATGCTCCTAGCATAACAAAGAAACCAAAGAAACAAAACCAACATAATTTGGATCCGAAACCGACCGACAATGTGGAGGAATCTCAATTTGAATACCAACATACATGATTGAACAAAGACCAAACCAACAAAATCAGAGGACATCCAATTCATGTCAACATAGAATATATACATATATACACATAATACAATATAATTTGAATAAACATTTAATTCACCGAGCTTTTACCATTACCAAACGAAAGCTAAAATGGAGGTTACGTCCCAACCACATCTGTACACACTAAGATACCTTCCAGAAGATCAACCAAACAAGCTCCAAATATCCCTTGGAGTATGTATATTAAGTTTCATGAGTATTGGATGCATATAACTCAATTAAGCCCCATGACTAGTTAACTTTCATACTTTAATTTTCCTATTACAACACTGTGTTCTAGCCTTGCTTTACCCCCACTTAACCTCAAAATTACTCATTTACAAAGATGAATTAAACTAGACTCAATTATATTTCAAAAGGATCTGACCTCATAACTATAGGATTTCTCTTTCATTTTATACAAATTTTTCAACACAGTAGCTATAGGCTATCAAAATTCAGTTTGACAACACTGTACAAAGTGAACTTTTTACCCATCTTAAAGCTGTAATTAGATTATGAAATCTCTATATAAAATAAACAAAACATTCATATCTTTCAAACGCCACTAGACTCAGCCTTATACGATTTTTCTATGATTTTATACAATTTTTCTAAAACAGGATAAACCATTGACTTTTAATTCCCAAAATAGCTATTGATACCATTACATGCTCAATTTTATATCATATTGAACCAAATCCAAATGTTTATCATAAAAGAGCATAATCTTCATAAAAACTTTGAAAATATAAGCTCTTTCCATCAAAATCATCATTTTGACGACTTTGACTTTGAAAAGTCAAACATTCATACTTCCACCCAATAATTTCAACTAATTTTACTAATTTTATCCATCATATTACTAAATAACAAAATATATATTCTAATCTACTCAAAATACTAAGATATTATCAATTTCACATCAAACCCTAACCCTAATCTCCATCAAATGATCCAATACATGAACTAGACAAAGTTAGGAGATTTATACATTCAATTTCTTGTTTGATACCAAGAATGATGTTAGATCCTTCCTATATGTGTGAAATCGCACCTTATTAACCCCAGAAGTGAAATCGGGTCGAAATCGGGTCAAAATCGGGGTTTTCCCAAGTTAAACACGTTTTGGGTCGAGTTGACCCATCACCCATTTTGACCACCTAATACTAAAAATTTCATGACGTTTCGCTCGGACCTCCGTTTTCGATGAGCTTTTCGCCTGCACATTCATAACAAGATAATATATAACTTGCAATAAAAATATTTCAGAAAATACCTTCCAATAAAAGCAGTTTTACATATTTGTAGGTCTTATGCTTTCCTTTGCAATTTTATCGTTTTTTATTTTGAGTTTGAAATCCCATAAAAATTTTCTGACACCTCCAACAACTCCTAATAGGTCCAAAACTTAGTTCCAAAGCTTAACATCCCATCAAACACCTCCCATTTGAGTGTTGTGCGTGTAGTTTACCAAAATAGCAACATAATTTATAAAACTTGCATGAAATGCAATTTACGCAACTTTTTCAACTTCCACCACCTCTAACACTTCATATTAACTTATTCAAAGAGTCAAGCTGGAGTATTATTATACTCGACTCGAACTCGAAACTCAATTTCCAAGCTCGAACACGACTCAAAAACTCGCAATTAGTTAGAATCAAAGCTCAACTAAAACTCGATAACTATTTTTCAAGCTCGAACTCGAATCAAGCTCGAACTAAGCTCGAATCAAGCTCAAAATCGAGTTTGAATCAAGCTCGAAACAAGCTCAAAATCGAGTTTGAATCAAACTCGAACTGCAACTCAAATCAAGCTTGAACTCGAACTTGAATCAAGTTCAAATCAAACCAAGCTCATCCATTGAAATTTATGAAATTTTAGGGTCTTTCTCTTATACATTTTAAAACTTAAAGGTGTTCTTTTAGTTTTTATAAAACTAAAGGGATCAACTTCAAACTTTATCATCGAAAAGACAAAGTCAAAAGCTCCATTCACCTCTCTCTCTTTTTATAACATCTTTTCCCCCTTTATTTATCATCTCTTTTTCAATGTGGAACAATTTCATTAACCTTTTTTATAGTTTTTATTTGTCTTTTTTTAATTGTGTTTTAATAAAAATAATTGATTAATTTTTATAATTAAAAAAATACATAATTTTGTTTAAATATCTAAAAAATATATAACATTTTTATTATTTAGAATATCTAAAAATACATAATTTTTATAATTTTGTTTTAAAATGTCAAATGACTAACAAACAGACAGACAGACAGACAAACAGACAGATGGACGAAATCTGTTGGAAATTGACAAATAAGGGACCAAAACCGAGTAAACAAATTTGAAGGTCAAGATCAGTTGAAATAGACAAACATTAGGGACCAAAACAGAACTCTTAAAACTTTTCTATTTTGATTAATGGCGTCGGTGGTGGAGAGTGTTTCACAATTTTTTTGTATGAAATACTTCGACCACAATTCTCTCCCTTTCTCGAATTTCGATGGCCACTGACGACCCTACCGCTCGCCGCCGGCGAATCATCGAGAAAGGATCCGATCGTTTGGCTCTCATCACCGGTCGTGCCCCAAACATACCATCTCCTCCTTCTCCTACTTCTGCAGCTCAATCCCATCACTCTTATACGTCATCATGCCCTTCAGCCATTACCCACCTCCCAGATCAAGTCGTTCCCTCCGGTATATACTAATTATTTTTAATATTCTCAATTCCTTGATTGATTTCGTTTCCGTGTTGATACGTTTTGCATTGTTAATTTCGTAACTCAAAATTCTAATCGAATTCTCATCAGATTTCAGTAATGGTTGACCTGAGTGATTTGTTTTAGGTCATTTTGTTGATTTGGTTGTTGATGTTAATCAATCTTCTGGTTACAATCTTCTGGTTACGGTGTTAATCAAGACGTTAATTTTACGTTGTGATGCGTCACTTTCACCTTCCTTCCCGAGTTCTGTTAGATAGCAAGCCGCTAGTGATTTTAAGTGTGTGTGTGTATATATATATATATATATATATATATGTATCACATAATATAAGAAGACATTTACTATTATTGAGCTTCTCACGAAAAGTAAAATTTCTCACATAATCCCAAAATGTATATATTATACATGTATGTATCTATGTATTGTATATGTATACGAAGGATCATGTGTAAAAAGGGATCCCTTAGTCGCCTTTAATCTCAAACCCACTCATGAATCACAGGATTGATCCGATGTATTTCATCCTAATGTGCATCCAAGTGTGGAGATCCCTTCTTACTCTGTATATGTATATATATATATATATATATATAACTGGAACCAGACCCTCTATATATATATATATATTGATTCACTTCACCTTTTGAACAACAAAAAGTTTGTAAATGATCCATACCAACTATATTTTGCAGATGAAAACCGGGATCCTTCTTTTAAATCTGAAAGTGCTGGAATCAAGAGTCAACCCGTTCTTCGCAAATCCGAGTCGACGAAAAGGCCAGCCTCCAAACCCAATGAAAAACGATCATCTCCAAAGAAATCCCCAAAATCCGAGTTGAAAACCTATCTCTACAAAACTGTTGGCCCAAACCAGTTACGTCCCGCCATTTTAGCTTCCCAAAATACCCGACGCAAATGTTCCTTCATAGCTGGAATCATCACTCTGCTGTCATATGTCGGATTCCCTATTCTGGGCAGCTACATTATAAAGAACGTCATATTATCCAGACCACTTTTTCTACTTCTGTTCATCAATGTGACCATTATGGTTGGACCTCTTGTTTTGGATGCTGCAAAAATGATCGAGCAGGGAGCGAATGGTGGTTCTTCAACGGCCGAAGCTGATTTTCCTGATCATCTTGGCTCGCCTTTCGAGTGGGGTATGTTATTCAAAACGAGTTTAAGTGCTTTTTTCATGGATTCTTGCATCTATTCAGTTGTTGTCGTTTGTGGCATTTCGTTTTTGAAGAAATTCGGGCTGTAGAAACCCGTTGTTTGTTTAACACTCATGGTCTTATTACAGTTTTGTTTCGTGTCGTGTTCGTTTAGTGAAGATAACCAACTGAATTTTGCGGATTCTTTACTTTTTGGCAAAATTGCTTGCTACATATGGCGACTGAAATTAGACGATTGAAATTATGCATTATCGCTTTGTTATGGTCGATGCCTCTTTCAATGGGCAAAAAAAAACGATCATATTATATAAAATCAAACAGTTTCTTTTATTTTCATTCTCATTGATTACTGTTTAATACTTCTAACCAAACACCCCTTTAGTCTTTATCATAATACCAAAGCATGAGGCTAAGAGCGCAATAAATTATGTATATATATGTAAATAAGTGGAGTGGTCGATTAAATTGTCAATTTGAATGTTCAAAACCACATACCATAACGTAGATTGCATTTTTGGCTACTTTTGAGACCAAATCGGATGGCCAAACTACCAAAAATATTCATGTTTAGTTCGCTCCAACCGGTTTTCATAGTTGTTACCACGTTCTAAAACTGTCATTATATGATGTATAAACCTTATCGCATATATAATATACAAGTCACCATCCCATGCTTTGAAATCGAACCATATTTGCTTACCAGATTGCGAATAAATAAAGTAGTCTTAACGCTCATACTTACATAGGTCCTTGAAACTCATGTATTCTTGTTGTTCAGTTTTCCTGATCATGTTCGAAATTCCAACTCCACCTATTGAACAAACAAACAGATTGATGATCGATAAAAAATGTGACATATTTTGAGTAACATTCGTGGGTTTGTATATTTCTTCTCGTATTGTGTAAATAAAAATGTGAAATTGGCAATGCAAACTTGTATACCCGCCTAATAAGAAATTTGATATCTTTATTTCCGTCTCATAAATAGTTTTTACCACAAGGAATTGTGATGTCTTTCTATGGGATCGGAGATTTTTTTTATTAGCTCCTAGTTATTGGTGCACAATTTCATGGAATGTAGGTCGTGGTTATGATCGGTTTGTAGAATAGACAGAATAGTGTATATCTTTCGTTGGGGATTCTTGGAAAAAATTGTTGGGTCTTCCTCCAATTTCTTATAAAATATATTCCAGTTTATAAGAATAGAAGTTGAGGAGGGTATATATGCTCGTTGTGTCCTTTATATGGATATCATAAGCCAAGGGGCAATTCCATTGACTCATAATAATGAGAATTTTGCTCCACGGGAAATGGAATAAAACGCTATTGAATTGGCTTATTTCTTGTGTGTACCAATTGAAGTATTTTAATAAATGTGCTGAGAAATCAATGCTTTCTCAGCAAGAGGGTAAAAACACAAGAATTCTGTTATTTTCTATTACATAACTTAAACTGCGGTTTCTTCAAAACATCCATTTGAGTCAAAGCAAACATATATGCAACAGTATAAAATAAAAACCCTTGGAGATCTTTTATAAGTACCAAAACATACACAACTCAATTCGAGGAGACGAACAGCTCCTCCCAGAAATATTTCTTCCATTCATTTATTTGTTCTATTTTGCGTTTACTTTTGGATAGGATCTAGACGAAGTGCATTATTTTAGAATCCAATGCGTTTTATGACATTTCAATTTGACTATAGCAACATAATAACATCACCCCAATTTTGGTAAATAATAAAAAAAACAAAGAGAGAAATGGTCAAGTCAAATAGTCTTCTTCAAAATCTACACAACTCTTGGGGAAGATCGACATGTTATTCCTAGAGTAACTTTCGTCCGTTGAGTGACGGCCCTTCCACTCAACATCGATGTCAAACGTGGATCATTATCATAAAAGATTCCCAACATATCATATATTTGTCATTCTTGAAAATCCACCTTTTAGGGGTGTTACACAATACGATGTTTACCCAAAAATCAACCATTTGATCAATACGTACACAATGGAGATCAAAGAGCTTGAAATAGAACTTAGTAAAACAAATTGACATTGAGATTGAAGTGGCCTAAATGTTCACTTAAATGGAAGGGAATTGGATAAGATTAACTTTCTTATGTGGGTTGATGCTCTGTTAATGGGTAAAACGTAATTAAGTTTGTCTTAGTTTATATTTGGTGTAACAATTTTTTTCAATAAATTAAACTTTAAAGTTTCATAATTTCTTATTTTGTATATAGTTTGTATAGGGCGACATGAATCAAACTGATCAAAGGAGTTATGTGCAAAGTCTATGTAGGTTCCCTTATTGATATTTATGCAAAATGTGAGCATCTATTGAAGATTACTAGGTGTTTGACCAAGTTGATCGGAATTATAACAGAATATTGGATAAGCAAAAGTTATGATTGACATAAAACTAAGAACTCAACCAAACTTTCTCACTCTCCCGATGGATGTATAATTTTGTAATTATAGTAGGGTTGGATTCTAGTGAGGAAACAATTCTAAATACGAAGTGTGATAATGAATCTCAGCCTTTGGATTAGCCTGGAAAATTGATCAAGGGCTACAACAAATATGGTGGCTATTGGTCCTGGAATGTAATGACTAACACACAGAGTGTTTGTAGAAAGAAGGTTGAATACAAACACAACAAATTTTTTACTTTAATTATGTATGTTTATTGAAACAAAGAATTACATATTTGTTGCTAAAATTAGAAAGGTAAAAACTTGATCCTAAACAATCTAACTAGTGACAAATTTGATAACAGTTGAAAGCGTGAGAGATGAAGGTAATCTTTCATATCTGAAGTACTAAGATAGTCATTCAGATGGTTGACACCAATTTTTCCTAGGAAACTATCACTCATAATTCATTTCAAAACGGGCGAGTTGCAAAAAATGATAAGGATGACCTTTTATAACCATCAATGCGTTGAATGTTATTATCCAACTTTAATGTGCATCTTTATCCAATTTGTTGATCAGTGCATGTGTGTACTCCTCATTTCAGCCTTTGAAGTTGATGTAGACATCTGTTAATCCAACCCATCCTTCTGTATGTAGAGGAAACGGTAAAGGAAGTATAGAACTAATAAAATATTACTTTAGATCTTACTTTGTCTGACATGTCAATCATGTTCTCATGCTAGGATGAGAGTTGGTAGAGTTGAAGACCCAAACTTGTTGAATAAGTTTGTACTCCAAGTTTTGCTTGCCAAGAGTATTATTTGTCAGACTACTTTTCACTTTATTTTGTATTGATCTACTTTTGGCTAAGATGACATTCCATCCACTTTGGTGACAATCTTGGCCTCGCTTTACCTAGTCTTCGATTTTGTTGAAGGCTTTTGTTCTCGGATCAACACGAATAATTACAACACCTTTACATAAGAAAAATCTTATCTATCTTTATGAAATATAAGCTATATATATGATTCCAACAAAGCAACTTTTAGGAGTATATTTAGGCTTCTTGAAAAACAAGGCCGAATGAACATGCGAAAGTTTCAATCGGATTCTTGAGTTCAGGAGAAGAGATTCTAATCTAAATTTGATCCCAAAATACTTCCTAAGTTGTACATTCAAAAACTAATTTCTACTATTGAAATCCGAGTATTCAACTACTAAATTTGATTATGAAATCTGATTTATAAGAATTAAGCTTGGATAACAATACTTATTGGAATTGATTCAAATTATACTATACTTTTTATATAATTGATATAAATTTAACATCAAGAAATCTTCTAAGTGTTGCATCACATTTATTTGTATGATTATCATATCCATAGTTAAGACTAACAATCTAACCCTATTTGTTAATAATACAAAAAGACAATCAAGACGGAAAAACACTTGGAAGAAGAAATGGTACCGAAACTTGTAAGCGATAAGAATAAAATCCGAACTCATAAATTCAATGATCCATTTCTGATTCCTTTTTCCTTTTCTACTTTGGATTTTTTTTTTCAATCTGCTAGTCCAAAAGGGGTTCTACAAGAGTAAGTAATTTGTAGCAGGGGAGACGAATACAAACACAAATTTTCACCTTTTTAATTCGTTTATTGATTAAGAAGAACCAATATGAGATTTCTAGATTGTTGCAAAAATAAATAAAGAGAAGTCCTAATCTAAACAATCTATGAGAATTACGAAGCTTGTCTTGCACAAAGAGAAGTAAGAAAGAATAAGAGATAGAAAGAGTGTTGAAGGCATAGCTGAGAAGGAGGGTTTCCTCGGCTAATTATACCCACTGTATTAATTGCACCTTAAAAGGTACAATCCACGTGTCAAAAGGGGAGTGAAATGCATGTCCTTGTTCATCAAATATGGAAGACTCTTGGCCGCATATGAACAGTTGCTTCAGGTAGTTAGTGAGCATGTTTGTAGATAATGAAGTGATATGTATAATACTATTGTCTTGTAGAAGCAAGAGGTATGTACTTCTGTGCAAGAGGATAAGACAAAACAATATTGATATGCAAGATTTTGATCCAACTATATAGACGAATTGTTGAGGACTCCTTCAGGTATTGTTGATATCTTGGTCAGATTTCATATTTAATGTAGACAGTCATGATGTCATTGAATGTCGTTCAGATCATGAGTAGACCATCTTTATCTTCAGTTTTACCTTCGACATTGTTGAATCGTCTTTGATGTGAGTTTGTCTTTAAGGAAAATCAAGTTCTAAAACATCTACAAGAGATGTTCAGCGATCACTGAACATATTTAGATACAATTTAATCACTGAAATTATAAACAAAGTAGAACTAAGTATTTCACTAAGTATAGGATCTTCACCAAATCATTGAGAGGGTTAGGATCAACAATCAACCCTTATTTGATGATGACAAAACAATATAAAGAAAATTGCTAAATTAAACAGAAAGGAGATGGAACTCATAAAATACTTGTCCCATTTACTATTTTGAGGGATATTTTCAGCACTAAGATGGAGTAAAAGTACTTTATTGATATTTCATTAATTGTAAAAGAAATTACAAATACAGAAATAGAAATTACAATAACTGAATTATCTTTTAACTGATAATACAAAGATAAGAAAAGAAAATGCA